CTTAAAAACCTCATACCTATGAAATGGGATGCATCTCTCAAGAGTCAGCTTAAAAGTCATAGACACCCTAACGAGACGGGAGCCTGCAAAAATGGTGCTAGGGATATATATATATATATATATATATATATATATATATATATATATATATGTAAGAAAGTAATGTATTTTTATTTATTAATCTGAAAGATTTAATCAATTGAAACGTTATTTGACATTTGATAAGACGCCCAGTTTTATTTATAAAACGGTATATGTATACATTTCCATCTACCGGTCTATCTTGACGGAAAATATGAGCTGTGCGGCATAATATGAACTTGTGTCCATCTTGGTAGAAGGTAGCCTTGTTAAATCCGGCGTAATTATACCAAATAAGCCATACACAGAACCCGTGCCGATGAAGTAAAGCTGAATTGTGTCTTTAAGCAAAATCCTCTCGATTTAGTTTCTCGAAATTTCATACCTGCTCAATTTCATATACAAGCGTAAATAACTTTTTATTATTGTGTTACAATCTGTCTATAATTCTGAGATTAGGTATTATGTATACTATTTATATTATTCAGACTATTGACCTCATCTTTGTCATCATATTTATTACAACGTTTCATACCTTGTACGTTCCGACCTTCTACTTATTTATTTCGCTCAAGGACACAGTGGATAAATGCGTTAGTTAGATCCAGTGACAGGACCCAAAGAGCGTGAATTCACTAACCGGTTAAGGTAGTGGAGAACTTTCAGAGGGAAATTAACAGGAGATAACTGATAACTGACATCCATTAAACATGGCACATAGAACTAGAACATTCTACCCCGGTGAGCGAAATAAAGGGTTCGGTTCGACATTCCAACCACCCGAAGAAGGCCGGAGTGTCGAAGGCCGAAACGTTGTAATAAATATGGCGACAAAAATGAGGACAATAGTCCGAATAATGTAAATATTATATATATATATATATATATATATATATATATATATATATATATATATATATAGTCCCAAAATAATGTATACACTCTTTAAATATTAATAGTTAATAATACATTACCATGATGTGAGAACTTATATGGATGAAAATATACAAAACTGATGGATTGGAAGAAGAGGGACAGTTGAATATTCACCTAGATCACCAGATTTGAAACCCTTGGATTTCTTTTTGTGAGGGTTTCTAAAAGACAAAGTTTACAGCAGGAAATCTGAAACAATTGCTGAAATGAGAATAGCAATTGATGAAGAATGTGCTCAAATACCTGAGGAAATGATACTTGACGTTTGTAGGTCTATTTCTTCAAGATATGAAAAGTGTATTGAACAGAACGGCAACCAGTTTGAACACGTGATGTGAACTCATCATTATATGAACATTCTGCCATTGTCCCATGTAGCTTTTATCTTATTATAGTTAATTTTCTATGTTTTTTTTTGTATATTTTACTCTCAAATTCCCACTCAAAAACCAGTATGGTGTCTGTATAGTAGTTTTAACTTCTCTTCATTTTGGTAATCATTAGGCCGCTGGACGTTTGAAACGGTCTAACTTGACGTTATGTGTAATGGTTACTGGGAACGTGGTAGTGCAATACGAACGCCATTTTCTTTAATTTATTTTATCAATTTATTTTTTAATTTTTTAATACCAATATAATATGTGCGCACACTAATTATATAATTCAAGATAGCATCTCATAATGGTATCTCAGTTCATGTGGGCTGTTTATTTTGTATAATATTAGCTTTTAGAGTTTTCATTCTTTCCCTGAAACTGGTGTTGTAGCGTATTTTGATGTTATCAATTAATATTTGTGTTATGTTCATAGTTACATTTTGATCGTTCATGATTTGTTAATCGATAGGTGTACGGATTGCACTAATTTTCGACAGCTGACAGGTTAATCTACGTGAGAGTGTGGTGCATGTGTGCCCAATGTAAGTATTTAATGTTGCTTTTTAATAGTTTTTGAGATAATAGTCATGATAGTAAAGACAGTCAAGGAGAAAGTTCTATTAACTCTAACAAATGATAATTAATTTGTTGTATGCGAAAAAGAAAGGACAATTTAAGTGTAAGCTACGCATTGTGAATGTCAAAGTACTGAAAATTGAACTACTTGGGTATGATATTTACACATGGCGAGAAATGGGAAACCAAACCGACAGTTCAAAGGAATGACGAAATAATCTTTACGGAAACTAAGCAAAGAAATAAGCTATAGGAAAATATGGTTAGAAACTAAAAAATACAAAGAGATGAATAGTTTTTTAATATCTAATCTTTATGGTAGTGAAGCTGAAGTCGTCATGGCAATTCCCAGGAAATAGATACATAGGAACTGTAGAAAAATATGATCATCTAAACCCTGGAGAGATATGGCATTACGTGTGTGGTAAATGAATTGGGAAATGAAAGCATTCAAATAATAAAGGTCTGTAAGAAGTGCTTGCTAAAAATTGCGCTAAGGTGAGACCCAAATGTATTTTGCTTTTTTTTTTATTTTTCTTTCTTTTCGTTTTATCTGTCAAGCGTCATGATTATGTTTTGTATAATTTTTTCTCTATTGACACTTATTTTTCTATTTCCATCTTTTCTATTCTAGTTTTTTCTCGAAGAACGCTAACAATGTTTCTGTATTGTCTTTCTGTTTTCCTGCTATTCTTCTCTTTTTAATATATGAATTTCCGTTTCTTTTTTCGCTTCTACCATTTTCTAGCTTATTTTTCCTTTTTTTTAACTTTGGCTTTATAATATTTCCCTCTTTCTCTCTCTCTCTCTCTATTTTTTTTATATAATATATACATATACATATATACATATATATACATATATATATATATATATATATATATATATATATATATATATATATATATATATATATATATATATTCTTTCCCTACATTTCTGTTTAGTTTCTATTTTTAATTTTACTTCCATTTCTTTTATTTCAGTTTTCTTAATGATAGTTTAAAAAAAAGCCTTCTATATTGTCTTTCTGCTTTCCTGCTAATTTTCTCTTGCTATATGAATTTCTGTTTTTCGGGAGTCTTTTTGTTTTAGTACTTTTTTTTTTTTTTTCGAGGTTTTTTTTTTTGTGTTTTTTTTTTTATTTTTAGCTTTTACTTACCGTTTTTTTTTACGTTTTAGCTTTTTCTTTCCCGTTTTTTTTTCCTTGCTTTTTAAACTTCCACCTTCCCCTTTTTTTCTTCTTATACCTTTTTAGTTCCCATTATCTTTCTCATTTTAGATTCTAGTTTTCTCTTTCTCTTTTTAAATTCTCTTTTCCTGCAATTTTGCTTTTTAGTAACTATTTGCTTGCATCTCTTTTAAAAAACATCCTGATTTTTTTTTATTATTAGTTTCTACTTTCCCGCATTTTTTCTATTTTAACGTTTGATTTTCGAATTTTGTTTCTGAAATTCTTTTTGCCCACGTTTTTCTCTTTTTAACTTCTATTAATTATTACTGTTTCATTTTTCATTTTCTTTTTTTTTTTAATTTGCTCTATCCTTTTCACATAAGATTTACTTCTTTATAAAAGTCTATTTATTCTTTAACGGTAGATTTGATTATTTTCATTGATTAGAATATAGGCGTTTGACAAATTCAGCTTAGCACAAGCAAACATTAGATAAGCCACGTAGTGAAGATCCAACTAATGACTTGAGCAATAGTCGATAAACCTGGCTTGTTAGACAGAGACGAGGCATACACATCTTTCGTTTTATAGATTTTTTAACATATTTCGTTATAGCTAAAAAAAAAAAAAACGAAAAAAATAGACGCAAAACGCTGTATTTCTTCCTGAGAATCTTTTTTACTCTGAGTCTCATCTTGTCAATCGATATAAATTGTCGAATCTACCATTGGACAGAAACTGTTTGACAAAACTGATTGCGCTGTGGACAAGAATGAAGATGTTCTTTTCAAAATGTTAAGCACTGCACAATCTTCTGATCAGTGGAGAGTCCTGGAATCAACAACCGGTGACATGTTTATTTTTTCTGTTTTCATACAACGATGTTCACTATTTACAAGGCCCGGATGCCATTTGGGATAGACGTATATATTAGAACGCAATGTGTCCGGATAGAAGTAGAAGAAAATGGTTAACCCTAGACTTGAACAGGTTAAGACTGCAGTTGTCAGGGAAATATCCTATTTGGAGTCGGTTCTACAGGGAATTTGTTTACTAGAATAAACTGTTCAAGTAGGATACTGAAGGAATGTTGGTGGTTTGCTACTTCGTAAGTTGTATGGCGTGTTCTAAGTGTGAATTTTTTTTTTCCCAGCGGGACCGATTAATTTTTGTTCTAGCCCTTTCCGTGGAAGTAACGATAGAACAGCGAGAGGCTTGCCACATCCCACTTCTGGAAGAGAGATTGAAAGATGGAGAATAATTCATCACCCACAAGAGCTGGGAGATCAAGGCTGGAAAACACTGCCGCATTTTTGGCCTGAACTGGCCCTTGTAAAGGTAGAAGGAGTGACTAAGTACTTACTGGAGCGGTACAAACAGCCGACCATTTTACCTTCATCCTTAGCAATGGATCGTATGTACGAGTTCAACTTGAGGTGGGGTGTCTTTCAAGTCACGCTGCCTCCCCGAGAGGACCTCCATTCACCCTGATTGGTGGCAGTTCGGGGACAGATCGACGATGATGGAATGTAACTAGCTTGGTCATCGAAGCATTGAATGTAACCAGTCAATTGTTATCCCATTGGGTAGTTCGTACAAGATCGGAAGAGAGATCAATCGTTAATGGAATGTGGGCAAAAAGAATTTGTTTTCTATCAAGATTCCGCAGAGTGCATAAAGAATTTTTACAAGTGTTTAATCCTTTAAAACGTTATATTATGTTCATTTGATTCATTTTGTTGTCCACTACAGAGCATTTTTTAGCGTTTCTCATTCAAAGAATAGTTAACTTATTTAATAAGATACGGTTTTCTCAGTTTCAGCTTCTTTTTCTATTTTTTATTTCTTTCTTTCAGTAATTTTATTCTTTTTTATTTCGATAATTTTTCGTTCTTTCGATAACTTTTACTTTCTCTCTTTCAATGATTTTATTCTTTTTCTTTCGATAATTTTATTCTTTCTTTCGATATTTTTTTGTTTCTTTGAATATTTTTTCTTTATCTCTTTCGATAATTGTATTCTTTCTTTCTTTCGATAATTTTTCTTTCGATAATTTTTCTTTCCCTTCATCGAAAATTGTATTCTGTCTTTCGATAATTTTTTCTTTCTGTCTTTCGATAATTTTATTCTATCTTTCTTTCGATAATTTTGTGTTTCTTTCAACAATTTTTTCTTTGTCTCTTTCAATAATTTCATTTTTTCTTTCTTTTGATAATTTTTTCTTTAGATAATTTGTTCTTTCTTTTGATATTTTTTCGCTTATTTTATTCTTTCTTTCTTCCGATAATTGTTTCATTTATTCTTTCTTTCGATATTTTTTCCTTACATTTCTTAATTTTTTTTCTTTACTTTCTTTCATTCATTCTCTTAACATTTTGCCTTGCATTTTTCGTATTTTTATTCTTCTTTCTTTATTTTTCTTCCATACTTTCTTTTGACATTTTGCCTTATATTTCTCAAATTCCTGTTCTTCATTCTTTCTTTGTCTCTTGACATTTTGCCTTATATTTCTCTGATTCCCATTCTTCTCTCCTTCTTTTTTCTTCCTTTCTTTCCATTGATATTTTGCCTCATATTTCTCAAATTCCTATTTTTCATTCTATCTTTTTTCTTCCTTTCTTTCTTATGACATTTTGCCTTATATTTCTCAAATTTCTATTCTTCTTTCTTTTATCTCTTGACATTTCGCCTTATATTTCTCAAATTTCCATTCTTCTTTCTTTCTTTCTTTCTTTCTTTCTTTTTCTTCGTTCTTTTCTTTGACATTTTCCCTTATATTTCTCAAAATCTTCTTTCTTTCTTTTTTCTCGTGACATTTTGCCTTATATTTCTCAGATTCTTATTCTTCTTTCTTTCTTTTTCTTCCTTTCTTTCCTTTAACATTTTGCCTTATATTTCTGAAATTCCTATTTTTACTTTCTTTCTTTTCTTTTTTCTTTTTCTCGTGACATGTTGCCTTATATTTCTCAAATTCCTATTCTTCTTTCTTTCTTTCTTTCTTTCTTTCTTTCTTTCTTTCTTTCTCTTCTTGGTACTTCTATTCTGCCCACTGTCCCTTTATCCCTTCTCCCTTTCTTTACATTCATTTATTTCGTAGTCAGACTTTATTGCTCACTTTTTGTCTTTCTTTATTTTCCTTCACATATTCTCTTTAGCAAACATGAAAGCTTTTATTTCCACTTTCCTCTCTCTCTCTCTGATTAGAAAGTTTATTCTATTTTGAAATGATCCCCCCCCATGATTGTTTTGTTAAATACTGGATCAATATTCGTACCTGGACACGGAGTTATTAGCTAGCTCCTGGTTAGAGATCTTACATCGGATAATATTTGATCTATCTGATTAATATTGACAGCAGAAAAAATGCGTTGACAAAGAAAGAATGTACGTTAAAAATTAATATGTATTCGTTATTTAGTAGCGGAAACATCGATTGACCTATGTACATATTTATCTATACTTATCTATAGACTTATTTTTAAGTTTTTGGATATATCTTTATTGGAAAAATGAACTTTTGGTTTTTGTTAAAAAACATTTTCTTATTAAGCAATCGATTTTTTTTTTTTACTGCTAGCGTTTTCTGTGTGTCTCTTTTCAGTCTTTTGTAATTCTAATTGTTTTATTCGCTTTTGCTTTCATCTTCTTTTTTAGTAAATTAATAAGCTGCTTCATAATCAAATCGCTTTTTTTATTTTTTTATGGCATTTTTGTTCGATATAAATAAAAACAAGTAACATCAATCACGTCAAACATGTAATTTTGTTGCTCTTTTTATCGATAGCTTTCCCATAGTTTTTGTCATTTTCGAACAAATGTTGCTTTTGATATCAATTCGATAATAACTTTGTAAAAGTATTTCCACTTTTCTGTCGCCATTTTCTAATTAAATTCCTCTCAAATATTTCCTGGTATCTTCTTCTCTTATATACCATGAGCAATCATGGTTCTCCACAACATTCCTTCCTTGTTAGCTTTTAGCCCTGCTGGGATTTTTTTTAATATATTTACACTTTTTTTCTGCCATTTATTTACGGAGACATTTTCCCTGTCTAGAGAGTGCCATAGTCTACAAGATTTCTTTACTGGTTATGTGAAAGATAAGTTTCACAGGTCTCTGGTTCTATATAAAAACATCCTTTTTGTTCTAACTTTTCTAAAATCTTCCTCGATACTCAGTTAAATCCATGATATTCTCAGCATCCTTCTGCAGATCGATATCGCTCTTGTCTCAAGTCTCTTTCAGATATTTACTGCTACATAGGAAGATTGATATTACAGCATTCCTATCATTGCTTTTAACGAAATCTTCTCGTTTCTTAATACTTTGCTTAGCTTTTGGAAGTCATCTTTCGTTGTAATTAAGAGCGTTCGGATTTTGGTTCACTGATATGTAAATTTCAGTTCGTATTTCATTTATTGGGCCGTTCTTTGTGCTTATGAGCATATTTTCTGTCTTCATACAATTGATGGCTTATGGTCACATCACGTTGAAAGACCGGTTCCTATACGATCAATGAAGTTAAGCAACGTCGATCCTATTCAATAACTAGAGGGAGGCCACTTCGGAATACCAACTGCTGTAAACTTGATTGTGCGGTGGTGTAATGCATTACGACTCGCAATAAGAAACCGGAGAGCCAAGTTCAGTTCCCAGTTGTGACAGTTATATTTACTTACGCGTAAATACCTTTTGTAAAGGTATGAATACATTTTTTCTCCCCCAGTTATGGGTTAATCAGTGGTAGTTGTATCAACATATCATTGTTATCTTCCCCCAAATTCTTAAAATGTTCTGGCTCTAAATAACCGGCAAGTGCTCTGATAAGACCTAAAAGGACATATCACTCATTCTATCTATCTATCTATCTATCTATCTATCTATCTATATATATATATATATATATATATATATATATATATATATATATATATATTGCGTCTATTAGAAGTACATGCGAAACCGAAAATCTTTAGGTCACAGGTGTGGCTTCCATTTAGGAGAAATAATTAGAATAATACAATACAATAATCAAATCCAAATCTTGAATCAGAGGAATGAATTAGTGTTAAAATATCAACATAAAAACAAATTCAAATTTCCATAATATAGGTTTAAATTAGCTACTATATTTCCATAATATTTACTCTCCTCTAACTCTTCAAATGTACAAAGTATAATTAATTCTAATGTCTATATTGCCACACTCTGTAACCTGTTTACACTATATTATAATTTATAAACATTCCCCTCCTCACTTTCCATTAATCCCTGACATCCTTTTATCTATATATTTAATGTTTTTTTTAATTACCTTTTTATTTCTCTTTCAATTTTAAATTAACATTTCATTCTTCATATAACTCTAAATTAATGGCATAAGATTAATATACCGGCTTAATTTATAAAACATCTTCCATTTTAAGAAAAAAAAACTTCCACCCTCTCCTAAACCCTGTCTCGTGTCTTTCGTCTGACTAAAACATTGAAATTGATATATTCAGTATTAGTTTTCTGAATGGTGTTTTATTTATTGTTTTAAGCTTTCACAGTTAAGTTTCTATTTCTGACAAGAACTCAGTCCACCCCAGGGTTGATAAGACAGACGACTGATATATTTGTCTGCCGAAATAGACTATTCCCCATAGGAGGTGATTTTGTATTTTACTGTTTATTATATATATATATATATATATATATATATATATATATATATATATATATATATATAATATCAACAAAGCCTAGTCCGATGAAATCCTAATAGATGGATGAAATGAGTGACAATAACTTTTCAAATTTGTCTTACTATTTTTCTAAATACTGTTTGTTGATACATAAAATTATACAAAATTATATATATATATATATATATATATATATATATATATATATATATGAGTGAGCATTAAAAAAACACTCAGATGTGTCAAACTGTTTCATGATAAACGCAATCTTCAGGTTTGATGATTGCGTTTAGCATGAAACAGTCTGTCACCCGTGAGTGTTGACTTCAGTGTTCATTTTATATATTCATACGCTCTATCTCTGATATTGAGCATTTTATACCATAAATACATCATACCTTAAAACTATATATATATATATATATATATATATATATATATATATATATATATATATATAAATATAAATATATAAATGAATAGTTAGTTTGGGTGTATATTTTGGTACGCGCATAATTAGTTTGGGTGTATATATAGGTACGCGCAAATATCCTTGGGATAGGTATAAATCCATTTTCTACCCTAGCTCTGGTTTAATTTCTATGATTTATATCAGCAAATTATGATTTTCCCCGAAGAATTCATACATTCTAAAAATATTTTCCGGCTTTATAAAACCTGCAAAAGGTTATAAGCAGTGAAAACAAAACTAATAAATAAGGTGATCAATCGAGTATAACAGTAAAATGTATTTCTGCTGTTTAGTCTAATTTTGAAACATTTCTTTATTTTTCACTATTGTTTTTCATGTTTTATTTCTTTACACAAAGAAAATAGTCATGAGGAATAATAAATCTTTGTTAACGGTAATGATCTCCCAGCGATATTTTCCCCTCGTTTATTTAAGAACTAAAATTAAAATTTTATGCCTAAAATAAATCAATAATTATTGACAGAAAAAACAAAGATCAAAAGGAAACCACAGAAAGCTTTAAGTTGCATGAAGAAAAATCGTGCAAGAATTCATTACGGCCATTGTCCTTATATTGACTCTTTTTAATATTTACAATATTTTCGACGTGTCTTCACTTTCTAATTGAATTTGATTATTGTGACGATGTTTATACACGTTTGAACGATCATTGATCTCCACAACTTCCTATACTTTGTAGGTATATTGAATGTTTATCCCTTTGCTATATCTCATATTCCGTTCTGCTACCGATTTACCAATGTAATTACCGTGTATAAGACGATAAAATCCATAGCTCGATCCGTGAATTTTTTGGCAGGGATTTTAAACTCTGTAGAAAAAAAATTACCTGTGTACACTGTCACTGGTCACCGAAAATACATGATTTTTAATGTCTTCATATGTATTACCTGTGTACAGAGCAACCGCTTATTATTTGCGTAAAAAGAATGAACTTAAAAACTAGCAGTGAATCAGCCTCGACGTTGTGTAATTCTTATCAAGCCTGTCTTGCTCGAACAATTACGACTGAGTAGTGAGTTCGATATTCATTAGGTGCCCCATACTTTCGCTCTTGTGCCATACCTAACATGCGCTAACAAAATCACCATAATAACTCGCACTATACTCGAGTGTTCATACAATATATAAGCCCACTAAGTATTTCCCTCTTGTCCGTTTGACTTTCAATATTATCCTGTGAGTGTTTAATTCTCCTGAACGTCTTTCCTCGTTATGTGCCTTAGAAAATGTTAAGTGTCTCTTTCTGATTCTATGTACATGTGGTTCTTTCTTTTCAACATTCTTTTAAATTCCACTTCTTATTTTACTG